GTTATGTATAATATATTACATTTCTGACTGTATATCCCTGTAATTATTACACACTGTAGCTTTAAAGATAATCAATTAAACGAATAAAAGCAAAAAAACAAAACAAGAGAACAGATTTTGTTTCTTTTAATCATTTATTTTCATGCCACTGTTGACAATTGGATTTATAACAAACACAAGATCTTTAATCTGAGTAGATTGTAGGAAGGTTGGGCAAGACGCTGGTCCAGAAATTCACATAACGCATCCTAAGCTTCTCTTTTACGTAGCTGCTGTCCATGTCTCCATTGATTTCTACAAACTTGTGTCCAGTGGACGTGAATGCTGGCCATGAAGCAGGAACACTCAGATCTCCTGTGTTAGGGTCTCTGGAACCATAATCAGAAAAAAGAAAATGTCAGGAATAAAGTGATCAGTTTCTGTAGTTGGTAAATGTATTTTGTGTTGCTGTTATACCCCGTCTTGGCAAAGTTGGTCCAGTAGGCGATCATGTATCCAGAAACGTCACGGTGGCGAGGCCAGTATCCCAGTGGGGTGGAGAATGGCTTTCCGAAGACATACTGCAAGTCATCAGCGTGGTCAGCTCCAAGCCAGCTGGGGAAGGGTGTGAGGAGGCCTCCCAGACGGTTGGGTTCGGAGAACAGGTACGAATAGGTGCGACCAGTTCTTTAGTGGAAAATTAAATATACAAACAGTAACTCAGAATATTTATAAACCTTAAACCTATCCTTATTTTGTCAGAGTTTGGGGACCACTGGAAATATTTTCTTGGCTATTTATCAAAATCAGTAAAGAAAAAAAAAAGAAAAAAATCTATTGCTGAAATAAATAAATGAATTTTCAACAAACCAAAACAACCAGACACATCACCTCCCTTCTCACAAGCATCCTTCCTCCTCCAGCTACCTTCATACATCTCCTCCTTAGGCACACACATGATCATCCACTCACAAACATCCCTGCTGGCGATCAGTCCATCTCATTCGCTGGACAAGCATTAGCTGCACATTATTATTTATAAACCTACTGCATCCCTATGTACATATTTTGCTTTTGAGAATGTTATATATATATATATATATATAATAGTTTCTTGGAAGAAAAACCCAAAATGGTCAAGAAATAACTTGAAAAGATCAAGTCAGACATTGCTTTTCAACTATGCTTTATCAAAACTATGAACAAAATAAACTCAGGTCTGACAAAAAATGATGGTACCCTTAACTTGATATATTTATTGCACAAGTTTTTGATACAATTGTTGCAAACAAACAATTCCTGTAACTGGCATTGATAATTCTGCACCTAGTCTCAGCACGTATTTCGACCCACTCCTCATTAGCAAACTGTCCCAGTTGAAGGGTGCCTTGTCATGACAGCACGTTTCATTTACTCCATTTAAGATTTAGGTCATGATTCACAAAACGGGGAGTGGCGGCCTAGTGGTTAGAACAAAGAGCTTGGAATCCAGAGGTTCTGAGCTCGAGCCCCACTCCCACAGATTGCCACACTGGGTCCCTGAGCAAAAGACCCTTAACCCCACACTGCTCCCCATACGTCGCATAAGGCAGCCCACTGCTACCCAAAGGGATGGGTTAAATGCAGAGAGTTCGTTTTGTTGCTCTGTACTTGTGACAGAGTAATGACAATAAAAAGCTTTAAAAAAATTATAGATTTTTTGGGGTTATTATGCTGACTAGGGGAAATGCCTTGATTTAATGTGTACATCCCCATGCACTATTTTAAGGAGTACCATCATTTTATCCAGGCCTGTTTTGTAAGTGTGTTCAATTTTTTTTTCTTATTCTGTTGCAGTATGGTTCAAAAGCAATGTCTGACTTTTATTTGGTAAATTTCAAAAATCACTTTTGTTTGATTCAAATTATTTCTGTGACCATGTGGGTTTTTCTTTCATTTACTAGGGGTACCAACAGTTTTGTCTATGTATGTATACTGAGAGAAAATTACCTACAGGTGCAATTTGTTTACCAATGAAGAGACGACTAAAGGCATTGAGCTATATTTAGAAGAAGACTTTTACAAATTGTTAAGCTCCTCTTCAGCTTCTATAGAAATCTCTGCAAGCGATACTTGTTGAGAAGGATCTTTTTCTTACCCAGCATTGGAGGCATGAAGATAAAGAGCTGCCTGAGTTGGAATCAAGAAGATGTAGTCTGTTTCGATGGCCACAACAGTTTTTTTGATATCTTTCCCGCTTGGATTACTTCCCCACTCTGAGCTGTATGTGGCAAAGGCATTGTCCGAACCAAGCGTTCCTTTCTCCTTGGTAAAGGAGCGCAAGAGCCTCTTCACCTCATCACTGCAGTCAAGAGGAGAAGACTAAAATTAGACTGAAATCTAAAGACACGTGTTTTTTCATTGGATTCCTAAAAGAAAAGGCTATAGAAATCAAGAGTGGTTTAAAGCTTTTATACTTAAACTGCTCCCAACATGTTACATTTTTCCCAAAGTTCAGTAAGTCTATTGTAACTCACACAGTGGTGTCTAAGAGGCCCGAGTTGACTGATGGAACATCTAAGCCTGTGAAGATGTGTCCATCCATGTCATTAGCTCCAGCCATGTAGTCAATGTCGGCAGCATTGTGGAACAGATTGGACGGGTCATCTGGCAGGAAGTCGCCATCAATCACAGGAGACAGAGCCAGGTTGTACACAATAGGGGCTGACAAATGGAGACATGAAAATGGATAAATTGTAATGCAAAGTGTTGATTACAAAAATGTAGATTTGCCTCTGATGTTTAAACTTAATCCTGACTTGAGTCTTAGGGGATATCATGGAAATAAACATGTCATGATTAATGACATATTGTCTGTATAACATAAGGGTCTGACACATTGCTGATTGAGTAATGAACCCAGAGTGCCACTTAACAGCACTTTGAGCTCTAACTGCAGAATTTTATTGTTAGGCAATGAAACAGACATGATGACACTTGATCAGACATATTTTTGGTTCTCTTATGTAGGATTTAATCTATTGGGGTAGAAGTGGCCTTGTTTTTACAAGTAACTGCACGACTTTTCAATTTGCTGGTCCGAAGTGGTCTGCTGTGTTGGATTTGAGAACACAGAGGAAGACTGTTCCATTTTGTGGCACTGTACAAGATCTAGTTCCCCTAGTGGCTAAAAGTTGCACAGTGCTGCTTTAATTTTAGTTAAACTATTCCATCGGTCATCTCCGCTTAATCCGTCATGGTCGCAGTGGATCAGTGCCTATCTCCGGTATCCTATTGGTGAAAGGCTGGCTACACAATGGACAGGTTGCTAGTCTGTCGGAGGGAGACACCAAGACAGGTCTGCCGGAGTACCTGGAGAGAACCCACTCATGCACAGGGAAAACATGCTAACTCTATGCAGAAAGACTCTGGGCCGGGAATCTAACACAGAACCTTCTTGATGCAAGGCAGCAGTGCTATCAATTATACCACCATGCAGTCCTACTTAAAATATTTTTTTCCCATTAATTTTGATACCTGTTATTTATTTCAGGAAAATTTACTTGTGAGTCAAATTTTCTTTATTGTAACGAATCAAGTGTCCTATGGAATTTGTTGCCAAAACAGAGAATAAGCTTGTAAATTGTTTTGTTTTTTTCCCAGTGGCTCATTAGAGGATATGTAGAACACCTTCAAACTGAGAAAATGACATCACTGTTTAGAAAATGTTTCATATTAGTAAAGTTAATAAAAAAATGAAGGTCTTTATAGACAATATATTGGGCCTTTCCCATAAAAAATAAACATGTAAGGCTAAAGGGATTAAAACTTTTGTGTATTTATCCAACAATGGTTCCTGTTTACAGCTGATTTAGATTTAAACCTGTGTTAAGATTTGCACATATTTACCATTTAAGTCCAGTCTTTCTCTTTCTATTTCAAATGAAATATTTATTTTAAACCTCTGCAGAGTGCTCAAGGGTTTATGGGAGTTTTTCCAACTGGCACACATGTTTTTTTTTTTTTTTGTGATCCACTTTACAATGTTTTGGTCTGGCATGAGGTCAGATATAAGTGCATAGCTTACCGTCAGGAGAACCGGACAAATTGATAGTTGCCGCCAAAGTCAGAGTCTTGGGATCGGTCATCTTAAGACACTTGGCCATGTTATGATCGGTGGGACAGTTGACTTTCAGAGCAATCTAGAGGTTTAAGGTTAAAAAAAAAAAAAAGTCCCATCACTAGGTTTTAAAAATATGTAACCTCGATGGTACAAACCATAAGAGGACCCACCTACCTCTTCCGTAAACTTGCGAGGGTTTCTGTTAACAGCCCAAGGGCAAAGAGCAACACCGCTCTGAGAGATGGCTCTCCTTATGAGCCCCTTGTTGTGCGGAGTGAGGGTCTGAGGCAAAAAGCAGAAATATATATATTTTTTTTTTTCATTTTTTGAACTTCTTAGTTCAGGCAGTTTCTTACCTGAAAGCTAACACTGGCTCCTCCAGCAGACTCTCCAAAGATGGTGATTTTGTTGGGGTCTCCTCCAAATGATTTGATGTTTCTGTGCACCCATGCGATGGCGGCCTGCTGGTCCCACAGACCATAATTTCCTAAACAAGAACCCAAGTGAAGTTTGCAATAAAAGGTTAAAATAACATCAGAATCTTTTTTAACGGTTACCTACCTGGCATAGAAGAGTCACCGGTGCTCAGGAAGCCAAGAGCTCCCACACGGTATCCTAGTGTCACAACAATAACATTTCCTCTGTCTGCGATTTCCTGTCCGCTGTACAGATAGTTATCTAGGAAGTTAGCGCCCATTGAGCCGCCAACCAGGAAACCTCCACCAAAGATCCAGACCATAACAGGGAGATCGGAGGCCACTGAAAAAATAGGGGAATATTGAAGTTAGCCCTGGCTATATCTCAGACACAGTGTTTTAATTCCAGGATTTACCCGATTTGATGTGAGGAACCCAGATATTCAGGTAGAGACAATCCTCACTGCCATAGACATCATTCATTAGAATAGTCAGCTGAAGGCATCTCTCCTTGTAGCTAGTGGCCTTCAGAATACCTGTTTAGAGACAGACACGTGAGGTACAAATTTTAAGATAGCTGTAGGTGCATAAATTGTGGTAAAGTAAATTTGTGTCTGTGACATGGTTTTTGATCAAATGAAAAAAAAAGTGTAAGAAAGGCATATAAAGGAAATGCAAACATGGGCATTATTTCACATTCCATTGTGATTTAACCCTGTAATGCCAAATGTATCGTATTTGATACATACGGTTTCTGAAATGTTTTGCATCTGACACCTTTTGCATAATTTAATGGTAAAAAACTTTGTTCAAAATCCTATTGTACACAATCAGATATACCTGATAACAGCCAGTAGAAGAATACATAAAAAATAATCTCGACCTATCGCATAGTAATAAATTATTAATATCAAAAATGTAATTCTGTTTTTTCTGTTTACGTATTAAGGTAAAAGGGCAAATAAGGAATTAAAACAAAAAAAAAGTAATTTTCTGTTTTGTTTTATTCTTGGATCAGGCTTTAAAGGGTTAAGATGTAATAAAGGACATTTGTGACCCAAAATAGGTTAATTTCCTTTTTTGAAAATTCAAAGTGGACTAGAGGTGCTGCAAAAGTGTAATCTGTGGTCATGTATTGTGCCAACATCACTTATGTATATATGCTTTATATATGCTTAAAGTTGAAGATAATTTTTTTTTTATTTTAAAGTTAAAAACAGCACTTTAAAACACTTAATTGCTTCTTTTAACAGCTCCCTTTACATGTTTTATTATTTGACTAAATAAAGGCACATTAGAAGACTGAAATGTAAATGCATAGGGCATACTGAAAAAAATATGTCACTACAGCTTCTAAGTTATAAATAAATTACAAATTCATTCCTAGCGTCATCCGCTGCTACTCTTATGATGTTCTGCTTTATCTGTGAGTTTCAGTTTTTAATTAAAACTCCCAGCTCTCACAATATGTCATCCAACTTAAGTGATGTTTTATAGTATAAAAAGTATAATATATGGCTTAGAGGTTGTGCAGTAACTCAGCTAGTGACTCCAAACTAAGCTGCTAACTTCGTTAACTTTTTAGAAAAGAAACTAGGAACAATAACTAGTTGCATTTTTATGTAATGAAACCAACACTGTGCATAAGCACTGCAAGAAAAACATTAGGCTAACTTTAAGCTGCTAACAGCTGAAGTCAGGATGAGTGCCAGACCTTCATTTGGCTCTAAAGGGCTATTCTACATGCTTCATGTAGAAGTTACCATGTTTCATTTTCTACATTCCTGTCAAAAGTCTTTGTAATCTGTCTTTTTTGAAAGGCCAAAGGTTTTAATAGACATAAGTGACAGTTTGGCTGATTTACCCACCATCCCAGCCTTGGTGACGCGTTGGCTTCTCAAACCTTCCAGGAACCCCAGCAAAGGGAATGCCTTTGAAAATGTCCATGTAGCGCTTGTACCCAAGGTAAACATTTTTTCCCTCTACCTGTCCTCCCTCGGTAGAGACAACACCAAGCTGTAAAAGGTCAGCAAAGAAAAATTAAATACATGGGGTTAGTTATTATTAAATGAAGGATTCAAAATTATATTTATAATATAGTTAGGCAGCCTGCATAACTCAATCATATCTTCAAACACAAAGTCAAGTACATTTTCCGCACTACAGATTAACTAAAATATTAATATAGCTGCTTTAGTGACACAACACTGTAAGATTTTTTTTTTGTTTTTTATCTAAAATGACATGTAAGCTACTGGAAACCCTTAATTTAGGAATTTTCTTATTAAAATTGAACCTACGGAGATGGCAGAGACGGTTTCCAGCAAGATGGCAGCTGCAATCAAAATCCCAAACATTGTCAGTTGGATTCCTCTGTGAACACCAGGATTGTTTTTCAGGCTCCTATTTATAAAGGAGACCTGCCCATGACATATGCCACAGCAACATCTGGGACATATGCACCTTATGTGCATTTTTTTCTCACGGATACATATGATTAACTAGCTGACGTTTGCTGGTGAAAAAATGTGGAAAAAACATGTGGTGAAGATTTAGCACTCACATTTTTTGCAGCTTTTGAACACGAAGAAAAATGGTCGAATAGGATAGAAAAAAGATCAACAATGTTTAGACCATTTAAATAAAAAAAAAGAAAAAATTACAGGTTAAGTTTTCGATATTCCAAAAATCTTTCAAAAATCTGACGGCATGAGATCCACCTACAGAAACCATGTTAAGTAAATACATTTTCTTCATACAGATGCATGAATAACTTTATATATGCGTAATAACTATAGAAGTATGAATATCAATCTATATATATAGATGGATAAATAAATATATAAATACCCATGTAAACACAAACCCATTGGTACCTTCTTCTTCTCCTTTGACTGTTTGAGCTGATGTAAAGAGTACATTTCTCCACTGTGAGATCAATAAAGTTATTCAATCAATCATTTAATCAATGCAATCAATCAAACAATCATTCGAAAGACTGGTTTGTTGTGGCGTAACTCTAGATGTTTTAAAAGAGAAAAAGTGCATCTTTGGCTCAAGTTTATAGCTTTTATTTGTTTCAAATGCAGACTTTTTAATCCATGCCAAACATAACTTGGCATTACTGAACAATTTACTGAACATTGTTTTTTGACAAGAACATTTTTGACAAGAAAATTTTCAGGGAAAGTTTTTAGTTATCCATGTTGTGTATTGATATTCCTGATTCCATGAGTGCATCCTATGTATTTTATTTGCATATGTACATAATTTTGGGGGTTTATGGCTGGTTATTTTTCTTGTTTTGAAAAGGTTGCCACCCTATCACCAGGGGGAAAACACTAAATCCTATTTATCAGGAAACAAGACTTTGTTTGTACAGCTGTGTAACTCAGCTCAAAGTCTCAAAACACTGCTGAGGTTGTAAAGCTTACAGCCTACCTGTTATTTCTACATGTAGAAGCTGCACTGTTTACTGTTACCTAATGGGTTTCTTCATTGTAAGTGTTAATAAAAAAAATACGCATTATTTAAAAAAAAGTCTAGTTTGGCTGTTCTTTATCAGGTAATGCAATTATTAAAATGTATTTAGAATAATACAAAAACATGGAACAGATTCCATGTTACCACGATTTCTAAAACACAAAACCAAAATGTAAAACTTATTTTAAGCCTTCCCTATTTGACTATAACGGACCTGTCTAATTATAAATCATTAATAAAACTTTCAGTTTTCGCTTCATTTTCTAGTATCTATTATTGATTGTTTTCACACGTTTTATTATTTACTGTTTTATTGTTAAGTTCCGTGTTTTTCTTCTTGCCATTTTGGCTTTAATGTTACCCATTTTTATTGATACTTCTTTTATGTTGATCTTACTCTGACAATGAGTTTTAACCAAGAAATGTGGGAGCTGTCAGTGGTTTTGGCTACATGTTTAGGATAAAGAAAAAAGTTGGCTCCAATATGGGCTCTAACCTACGAAGATAAGTGATGCATCTGAGGTTTTAATCCTCCGCTATGAGTAATGTTTTGCAAAATGATTAAACTTTAGACAATTAAAGATCCAACTGAATTACCAGGAGATGTTGCTCCAGGCTTTTGATCACAAGATGTAAGTCAGAAGCTAAAGGCAAAAGTTATAAAATTCCAAATTCTTTATTTTGATTTACAAATGTTTAAAGAAAACCAACAGGTTTTAGGATTGTTAAATAAAAAAAGTAAGAACCCGGATCAACAATATGAAGGAAAAAACTAAAATTAAGGGTTTCCAAGAACAGCAACTGATTTTTACTCCGTGAAATTATATTTCAATAAAAAAGAAAAGATAACTAATGATATCTATCTATATGCAAAATGAAACAATTAAAATAAGCAGCTCATATGATACAATGCAAATACTGACATGTAAAACAATACAACAAACTTAAAAGGAAGCAAAAAAAAAAACTGTAAACTAACTCACCGATTGCAAGAAGGGAAACTAAAAGGGAATAAAAAGGGAAAAAATACATTAACATTTTCCATTTGCAGATTGAAGACTGGAGCAACAATGTAAATTGGACTGTACCCTGTAGGAAAGTTCAAGACATCAAACAAGTTCTGGGATCAGAAGTTTTAAATTTTGTATTGTCCCAAAACTCTACAGTCTCTGAAATAAACCCACTGGCCAACCTGCAGGGGGGCCTCACTGACTCAAAGGTCATACCTTTCCAGGGGAGCTTTTTCTTCTCAAGTGCTCCACTCCTTCAGTCTCTTCAGCAACTGAAAGTTCCCTGTAACTCAGAGAAATTATATAAAAGGTCTGTTTTGCACAGATCTGGTTCTGAAGCTAGCCACGTCTCCACTTAGCCTTGATCAGTCTGCAGATTCTGGTCTTTGCATGTGACCTTCCATGATGGCTCCTCTTCGGTGTGGCAGGTTTGAAAGACACAGAGGCTATGTTCAAATGTGGGGGCTGCATCCTCCAAAGGTCAGATTTATCTGTGCAACTTCTCTTTGGATTCGAAGACTCCTTTGTACGCAGCCGACAAGTGCAGCATTCTTTTAGCCTGGTTGGAAGGACAGGTCCAGTTTATTCTTCTTCACTTAGGGTATCCCGTGATCCATTCGAGTCCAAGCAAGCTGGCTGCTCCGTGCTAAGAGGAAAAAGAGAAATCATGAAGAACAGTGGTGAATATTGTAAGTACAGTTTAATATAATACAAGTATGTGAATATTTTCATCTTAAATCAATAAAAAGAGTTATTCTAAATGGTTATTTAGTCACATATAAAGCAGGTAATGTTTGATTGTTTAAAATGTTTTATATGTCCCTGTGCAAATGATGAACCTGTGCATGATGGCTCACATTAAAGCACAGATTCAAATATCTGTGCAGTGGAGGAATACAGTCTGATATCTGTGACGACGGTACTGCTGCTGAAGCTGCTCAAGAATGTGATTAACACAGAGAACAGTAGTGAGAAGTTCGGCATCCATTCTTTGCCTGCTATCTGAGTCAATTGTCATGGAGTTTAGACTGAATAAGGGGTGGTGACTGCTGGAGAAGGCTGGACTGATTTGATTCTATAGCCAAACTCGTCTGGCTTCCTTATTTTCACTTCCGGCCCCCTTGGAAAGATCCGATCCCAAAATCAAACACAGCCAGAGTTTCTTGGAGTTGGTGGTTTTCTCCTGAAGCACCGTGGGGGACAGGGTCTCATGCCTCTGTAGAAGTGTCTTGGAGAGAGGGGGCCAAATTTTTGGGCCAAATACAAAGGAAAAATGGCTCCCCGTACTCCAGTGATCATGGTTAATATTAACATGGACATTGGTACCCAATGTTCAAAATGAATATAAAGGTTTATGGCCTAAAACTTGCTGGGGAAAAAAACACCATAAATGATGAATGCAGAAACCAAAAAAATTAAGGAGTTATTCAATGCCCAGCCTTTTCTTCTAATTTAAGACTTTTTAAAATATATTTACTATGAATTGTGGCATTCAAGTCTGTTAGTTTTTAATATATAGAACTTATACAGATTTAAGGGTGTTTGGTTTTGATACCGGTAAGTCTTCCTTCGGTATGTCAGGGCTTGTCATGATCATATGAGTCGGTTTTCTTTGTAAAGTCAGACATTGTTTTTTTCGGGTTTTGCAGATTTGACCCACAGACTCCCACGAGGAAGTCATGTGCGCTGACCAGTCAGCCAAAAGCGTATACTTGTAGCCAAGTAGCCAGGATATATGATCAGTCAGAGGCAGAGTGACAGGACCCCACTCTGTCCCACTAAAAAACAAAAAATAAGTCTTACTCTTGCGGCATGCTATAGCATGAGTCATAGCTCTGCATTACCGTACCTATTTTTGCATTTCCCTCATTGTAGTTTATTTGATTCCTCTCACATCAAACTTATTATTTTTGTTAATTTTCCTCCTTCACAGATAAAACACTGTTATCGTGTCTAGAAGTTGATACATAAAACAACTGTTGGCATTTTTTAGGGTGAAATCACATTCATAGGTTTCTCTATAGAATATCCTAGAGAATTGTCATGTTTGTTATTGTTGCAATTATATTAGATTAATTAGGAAAGGTGATCGTGCCTTTATGGCAGTGGCACAGAGACTCTGGAATAACTTGCCTTGGCATATTCGATCGGAAAGGCTCCTTTGAGGTTTTTAAATCCTTAAAAGCACACTTCTTCTCCCTGGGATTTAATCAAGTCTAAGACTGGACATTTGGCAAATTTTATTTTAGATTTTATTTTATTTTAATTTAAACACTCATTCTATTATATTTTATCTCCATTCAATTTTAGCCTTCAGTTTTTAACTTACGTTCCTTAACTGTGATTTCTGTACAACACTTTGGTCAACCCCGGTTGTTTTAAATGTGCTTTATAAATAAAGTTTGAGTTGAGTTGAGGACAAAATGACTCCCTGTCTCAATGCTCAAATAAATATGAAAAACACTAAACGCATAGGCGTCAAGTAACGAAGTACCAGTACTTTGTTACTGTACTTAACCACACTTTTTAGGTATCCATACTTTACTCCATTACTTATTTTCTTCCTACTTCTGACTTCTACTCATTACATTTTCATACAAGAATCTGTACTTTCTATTCCTTACCTTTTTAAAACAAATGTTACTCGTTACTCTTGGCTTCGGTTTAATGTTTATAAATATTTATTTCACGTCATGTTCGCCATCCAATGCAGATCATTGGCGCCATCCACATCTAGTGAAAAGTAGTGCAATTGTATGGTTAGCTAAAGGAAATCATGAATTGTCTACGCCATGCTACAATGTAGGATTCAGAAAAAGATGTTGAAATGTCTGAAAGGTCGGACACAGGCGAGAGCGTATCGGGAGACGGAGACCAACAGGACCTCCCTCATCCTTTGCCCTATCTCAAAGAATTTTTAGAAATAGTCAAAAAAATGAGCTTTCAATTCAAATAGTGGCATCTGGCTGTTTTTTTTTTTTGTTTTTTTTTAAACGTTACTTTATACTTTTATACTTTAAGTAGTTTTTGGAGCACATATTTTTTCACTTTACTTGAGTAAAGAGGTCAAGTTGATACTTCAACTTTAACCAGAGTGTTTTTAAAGTGCAGTATCTATATTTCTACTTAAGTAAGAAATGTGTGTACTTTTGACACCACTGACTAAACGTTTTCTTTTAAAAGTGAAATGAAAATGATATAAAAAAAAAAAAACTGGAATTTATTTCCCTTTTTTTATTAAAAATAAATTAGAAATTGAAAATGATGCAACTTATCACTACTTAAGCTCCGCTAAGGCCCAGGGTGCTTTGTGAATTATGTTTGTTTTGTAAAGTTAAGTAAAGAAAAATCTGAAACGGAACCACTGCCAGGCTTACAGAAAGATTTGGGTCTAAATAAATCACTAGTAGTAAAAGCGGTACAGGTATCATTGGAGCAATACCAGTC